AGAAATAAGGCAGCGATAGTCAAAGGCAGCCTACCATCGAAAAGGCCGAAAGGCAACCGCAAAAAGATAGTTGCACAACTGCCTATTTGAAAGGTTTTTGGCAGCTGTAAAAAGGCAGCTTTTGGCAGCTGTAAAAAGGCAGCTTACCTTTCAAAGCAGTTGCAAAGCTATACCCCCAAAAAAAAAAAAACAACCAGCTCAGCTCTGCTCCGACAAACCACGCTCGAGCCATGATTTGTGGTGTTTTTGGGGGGGGGGGGGGTGCGTTAGGTAAATTTTTTCAAGGATGAATTAGAAATAGGGCTATAAACTATTGGACAATATAACCAAATTGGAATTGTTTTTTTTCAAAATCATTGATTTGGTCCACACGGATTCATTAGGAATGGAAAGTGGATCGAACCACTCGTGAATTTTGGCCCACGATGGTCCGAGCTGAGGTCATGTTTATATGGACCGAGCCAATTGACCGGTAAAAAGATTTTGAAATAAGTCAAGCCATTCTAAGACAATTTAATTTAAGTTTCAAAATTTCAACGATGAGACAGTTTCAAAATATTAAAATTATAATTTTTGTTTGAAATTAGATTGATAAATTACAACCTTAACGTTTAAAATAAAATAGAAGTATGGAATTAATTTAGAATGAGAAATTTGGTCAATTGTCAATTTCCAAATACAAGCAATATGTTAATCATCCTAGTTTCATAATCTCATAGTTGAGACTTTTCTTCAATTTTTTTAGTCATTAATAAAGTATAAAAAAATGTTTTGTAATCATTGAGCTAGTGAAAGTGAACAGGAAGAAAAAATGTACGACTAAATTGAGGGTTTAATACAGGACTAAAAAAATCAATCGGAAAATTTCCGATGTTTAATATCTGTATCCAAAATTTTAAGACAAAATACTATTTGATCAAGCTTTAAAAAAAATTTTTAAAAAAACTCAAATCCCTTAAAATAGTTTGGTTTAGATTTCTTACATCATTTAAATAGTTTAATTTAAATTATTGTGGTGCTTTGTCAAAAAATATCCTTTATCTTAGGAGTTGTGATTATGTGGTGAAAAAAAAATTATGGAAGCAATATAGCCATCTTAAATTCATACTATTTCAGAGATTTCTCCTTTTAATCTGATATTAGATGTTCAATATTATTATGGCTCTTTTCTTGTGTTTTACTTTTTCCATACATCAACCTTCCTTTGATTAATGCTTGCAAGGGCGTTTCTTTTCCAATCTTTGAGTTCAAATATTTACCATAAAGTTGACGCGTTTTGGGTAGCGATTATTTTTTAATCACATTTGGTTAAAGTTACATCTTATACACACATTTTATCCGTAGAAACCGCAACTAATATTCAATTACCAAACATTTTCCTTCCTTATTTTGAAGACAGAAAAGTTTAATTTAAATTATTGTGGTGCTTTGTCAAAAAAATATCCTCTATCTTAGGAGTTGTGATTGTGTGGTGAAAAAAAAAAATAATAATTATGGACGCAATATAGCCATCTTAAATTAATACTGTTTCAGAGATTTCTCCTTTTAATCTGATATTCAATGTTCAATATTATTATGGCTCTTTTCTTGTGTTTTACTTTTTCCATGCATCAACCTTCCTTTGATTAATGCTTGCAAGGGCGTTTCTTTTCCAATCTTTGAGTTCAAATATTTACCATAAAGTTGACGCGTTTTGGGTAGCGATTATTTTTTAATCACATTTGGTTAAAGTTACATCTTATCCACACATTTTATCTATAGAAACCGCAACTAATATTCAATTACCAAACATTTTCCTTCCTTATTTTGAAGACAGAAAAGTTATTTGATTTCGGTACATGTTTGGTCGGTGATTATTTTATAATTAATTTTGATTAAATATATATTTTAGAATTCATTATTATTATCCATTTATTTTGCCCGAATTCTTTAAATTTGCATATAATAATAAATAAAATTTAATTTAATCAAATATGAAAGACGCACTAATTATTTCCTTTTCCACAATTAGATTAGCTCGATCAAAACTTTCCTCTTCCAGTAGTAGGTTAATGGCAATGGATTTCTCCTGGTCAGACCCTGGGCCTAGTCTTTGACGGGGACAACGAAGGCAGGGCCCACACGCTTTATAGACCCAGTAAAAAGGACCTTTTCAATTCTGGGTCAAACTCAACTAGTCTTCTCGCCCGGCCCATATCCGAATATATTCTCAATTGATATCTCCAAGAATTAACTTCCTAAGTATTTTTGAATAGATTTTGCTCTCCAAACATTTGACAACATTTTTCAATCCAAGTTGCGTTGCCCCACAGAGGAAGGCAGGGTACAAAAAATTCCTGGCTTGTTAAGGTGTCTGTTCTTTAGAAAGTACAAGCTTTGAAGGGAAAGGGAGTTTAGGGTCCTGGATTAGCTAAGATATTCTATATCATGAGGTTGCGAGAGAAGTCTTTTCTTTCCTTTTTCTTCTTAATGATTATTGAGTTTGTTCAATGTAAGCTTCAAATTGACTTCTAAAACAGAGATTTAGTGGGCATCATGTAGCAGAAAAGAGGATATAAGTGTAAATAGTGTGAAAATTAACTTTATAACCATATTTTCTTGCATTTTTTATGCATTCAGATACAATGGATTGCCAGTGAGAGGCCTAATGACTGTCTTCCAGAACTGTGTTCATTCAACAAGGGGCTTTCTACTTTTTTCAGATATTTGAGTTTATTCTCTTCCTGTGGATCCTAGAAGTATAGATAGCAAATTATAGTTTGGAGAATAGAAGCGATCAAGTTCATTTAGTATAACTGTAGATTGTAGCCATATGTATTTTTTCCTTCTTTGTCCTTAAAATCTAGAGGACGGTCAATTTTATCACATAGACCAATTGATTGAACTTCAGGATTAGTAACAATAAGAAAGCCTAGTAAATTATTTACTTTTGTAGTCTAATCAGGCTGTGCAATTGTCTTGATTCCAGGTTTAACATCCTCCACATTTTGCATATGCACTATAGTTTCTGAGTGTTGTACACTTGTGTCTGTATGTTAATTTAACTAAATCAATAAAGATACGACCTAGGAAAAATATTGGCTTGTTTAGTATGTAATTCATGGAGAAGGTGACTTCCCAAAGTCTGTTGACCATCCTCCGATTGATGGGAAATCACTCTTGGGTATGTAGATTGTACGAGAATGACCATTTGCTGAGCCAGTTTCTCACCCATGCCCATCAAGTTTTCTTCCAGGATAGGTCTATTACATTCATATGGATACTCACCCGTCAAGTATATAGTTCATATGAGAATGACTATTTGTTGGGCTAGATTCTTACTCGTGCCCATCAAGTTTTATCCCAGGATAGGTGTATCACATTCGTATTCATACTCACCTTCTCCTATTATGAGGCTACCACTATTGATCTTGTCTTTAAGCCTAGGATTTGAATAATCCGGTCTTGTTTTCGATGGACTCTATTTATTCTTGATTTAAGCTTAGAAGTTAGAAACCTGTTTATTAGGTATGACAGCTGGAAATCTAGCTTGTTGAATAAGTCGAGATTAACAACCTCCGTCCTATAAAGATAATCCTATTTATTTTTTCACACAGATCAAGAAAATTTAGTTAATACAGTTGACATGGGCGGACCCAAGGGGGGTCACTTGACCCCCCAACTTTTGAGATTTTCCCTTTTTTTTTCTTTTTTTGATAAAGTCATGTTTGGTATCGATTGAAATTTCAATTTTAATCTAAATCAAAGTTAATAACATATTTTCTGGATTCCTTAACTTCTAAAATTTTATCAAAATTTACTAAAAATCGGATTTTAGTCCCCACCAAACAGAGATAAAATCAAAATAAATTTAAATTTTCTCTCTATTTTATTGCTCTATCGTATTCTCTCCTTCAAACCTTTTATCAAAATCTTAAATCTTCTAATTTTTTAAAATTTGTCTATAATTTCTCTATAATTATCACATCTACTACAAATTTTCACTTTTCAATCAAATTTTCAACTAATTAGAACCTAAATTTGCATTTTCTCCTATCCTATTTATGTATATAGCACATGTCTAAGCTGATTATATAAAATTTAACTTATATCTAATGAATTGTGTTTATTTGACTAATTATTAGTATTGAATATTGGTTATTTATTTTTTCTTTCGATTACTTGAATTAATTGTTTGTATCAAATACACAATTTTTTAAAACATAAATATGCATTTTCTTGTGATGAGCAAAATATTAAAAAAATTATTGTTCAAAATCAAATAGATGAAAATTATTAGCAAAATATTAATGAAGAAATATTTTTGAAACGTAAATCTACATTTTTTTGAGTCAAATATGAATCACTCAAAAATAAAAAATAAAAAGTATTCGATTTGTACAAAATTTGATTGTGGGCCCTAACTCAATTTCTCTGCGTCCGCACCTGACAGTTGAAACAATGAATTTTATTATCATTTTTCCTAATATACCCCTATATTAATGCAATCCAATGTTGACAAATTATGCAATGCAATGTTCAAGGTAATTAAACTATTCTTGGTACTAGTCATTATTTAATGCAATGATGACAATAGATGATGGTGGGCCATTTTTTATCCTCCAAATACAAATGAAAAAATGTCATGGAAGATGGAACTTTTTATGGTTTTCAATTTATTGTTCCAATTATAATTGAAAAATGAAGTGGTTTATTTTTGTGATAATAAAGCACATTAAATAGAGGCAATTTAGGAAACTAATATATTAACTACACTCTCAAATAAGAAACAAGATTATAATTTGGGACACAGGAAAAAGGAAGATATGACTATCTTTATGGGATGGAAGTAGTATTATATATCTTGCCAAATATACATTGAGGGTTAGTGGGCATTTCTTTTTATACTAGGATTTCGTTTAGGCATTCTTTTGAATTCTTCTAACTATTGTTTCCCTTAAACTCCTATTACTTGTCACCTGCTTCCTGTCCTGACACCACTTCTTTATCTACATAATCAGGCTGGCAAAACATTAAGTGCTCGGAAATGGCAAGCTGCTTTCTCTCCAGAAGGTCATCTTGATATAGGCAAAACACTCGGTCGAATTCAACGGGGGGTAAGATTTTCTTTCTTTTTATGACAAATTGCTACTTGTTTCCACCATGATAATCTTTCTATATTTTCTCATCCAAAAATGAATATAATCTGGTGAAGATTATTTTGGTTGATAAACAATCATCTGTTTTTTCCTTCCTTCCTTTTATTATTATTTTATTTTTTTTATGTGGTATTCTATACTGTATTTGTAGCAGTATATGTGCTTTCTTGCCTTTGTCTGCATTTCTTTTTGAAGGGATTCTTTTATCAGTTTTAGAATTTCAGTCCTGCTACAGTGACATTAACTTAAGTTTAACAGTTTTTTTACAGTGTGTGAGGTGGCATACTTTTTTACCTTTGATTTCAACAACACTTAAGATAATTCACGGCACAGATTTTTACACCTCATACAATGTTAACCTTAATGTATACATGGACTGTAAAAATAGCATTTTCCTTCGAATTTCCCCCCTTCTAGAGTGACAATCTGAACAACATTAAATTTGATGATAAAAATTCTTTGTTTTGCCTTGGATCAGCTACCATAGCACATTTCAGATCTTCTATGAACACAATAGAGTATTCTAATATCGAATTTGAAACTAATAATTATCATAATGTACTTGTGGTGAATAGGGGATCCACCCATCAATTAGAGGTGAAGTTTGGGAATTTTTACTTGGCTGTTATGATCCTAAGAGTACTTTCAATGAACGAGATGAAATACGGCAGCAACGAAGGTAATCTGGTCCTTATTTCATTTTACTGCAATGAATGCTACATTCAGGTAAGCTACCTAGCATGTTCAGATAAAAGACGTTATATTGATCATTACTGACCAGAACATATTCCTGCAAAAGAAGCGTTAATTGCTGTGTTAATCACTGTACACATAGCGATGATGATAAGGATATCTATCTGTAAATTCGAAAGTGGTATGGAGGTATTATAGAGAGAGCTGTTATTTTTGTCTTAAAAATTGCATGAGTTAGTTTGTTAACCGTACGTAGCTGTGCAGCTGTATTCTCCTAATAAACCTATCAATCTACTAAGATCTAATATATTCAGAGGATAGACTTGGTCCCACTATTTTTGGAGGGACACTTTTTGTTTCTCTAATAATAAGTAGTGGAAAACATATTTTTTTTGTTTGTCTGCATCATCTGAAACATAGTGTTCCCTTTAGTCTTCATCCATCCTTCTCCACACAATGTGCAAGATAAAAATGGTATTGGCTGCAAAATGCTATTGGGGTTGGGGGCGAGGTTGGAAAAAGAATTATAATCCGTGAGTTTCAGATAGAATATTTATCCAAGATATAAGACTCAATTTTACAGTTTGTTAGTAACTTATATACATGTTGTTCTGTTTCTCCATTTGGTCATATATTTAAAATTTAAGAATATTAACCCACTCCACTCATTTTTGCAGTCCTGATTTGTTAAATATATCTTATGTTATTTTTTGATTCGTTGGTTATACTTCAGAGTTCAGTATGCTGTGTTAAAAGACGAGTGTCGGTTAATGTTTCCCTTGATTGGAAGTGGTAAATTTATCACTGCACCTGTAATTACTGAAGATGGCGAACCTATTTATGATCCTCTTGTACTTCAAGAGGCAAATGTATCTTCCGCTGAGGGGATTGGTAATTGTTGAACTCTGAGCTTTCTTTTAATTACATTGCTAGTCCAGGGGGATAACGACCAATTTCTTACTTTGTATAACTTTTTAATGCGTTCAACCTTCAATAACAGATGCTTTCAATGGTTCTGAAATGGCAAAAGAACCAAATACTCATTGTACTATGAGCAAGAAAGAAATTCAGTGGAAACTTACCTTACATCAAATAGGTACGTAACTTATGTAAATTACACATGTTCTTTTGTTTTTTCTGTAAATTTTTCCGCTGATGGTCAGTGGGAGAGCTAGTTATTTGCTTAGATAATTCCTCAATTCAACATATATATGTTAGAGATTCACAAACAGAGAAATTTTTCCCCATCCTGATTTAATTACTGTACTACTGATTGTTGATGTAATACTCCCCATTTCACATTTTGAAATGCTTATTAGGCTTTGTATAGGAATTAAGATCACACCATAAAATTGGTGTCCTAGGGAAACTTCCACACTTTTCACGAATTACCCTTTATAGAAATAGTTATAGTGTCTATTTATTTCATTAATGTCCAAACACTTTCTACAAATTTAACATACTGAGGGTATAATAAGAAATTTAGTGAACTGAATTTTTTGTGATGAGAAGCAATTACGAGATAAGCTATTATATTGTAACCCAGTAGAACAAACTGGGAGAGGGGATAGTATTTTTCATCTCATGTAATGAAAATATGCCATACAATCTTTTGTTCTGTTTTTCATTTTGATGCCCTAGTTTGTGATTTTTTAATCTTGGTTTGACATTCGTTCCAGGTCTAGACGTGGTGCGAACTGACAGGACTCTAGTGTTTTATGAGAAGCAAGAAAATTTGTCAAAACTTTGGGATATTCTGTCTGTTTATGCCTGGTTTGATAAAGATGTGGGCTACTGCCAAGGTGGGTAACAAAATTAAATTCTTTTCAGGTATTAGGTCTCACTTAGCTCCTTTATCTGCTTCACCTATGTCTATTTGAATTTGATAAGACAATTATGGATCAAGGTGTTCAAAATGCAAAATGTCATAAATTGTTTCTTCTGTACCATTTCCTTGAATGTAATTAACTTGTGTCCTTAAAGTGGAAAACACAGTTTCATCAGTTCTCATGACACCGTCTTCTCTGGATGACAAATGGTAAAAGCATTCACTTGTTATTACAGATGCAATGACACAGTCTCCCATTGAAATTAACATCTAGATTCAACAACAATTTAACTAGGGAAGGTGTAAATTCACATTCTAGTTTATGCAATATTGATCTGCTTAATCCATTTTGATTTGAATACTTGGATTCAGATTTTGGAAATAGTAGTGCAAGTTTACATTATTGTTAGACGCTGAAAAATGATCACAACTAAATTTGCTCCTGCTCCCATGTTAATCTGGTCTTGATCTAGACTTTCTGGACTTCTTCGGAACACTTTGTATTATGTCATCTTAGATTCGCAGATCATTTGGAACTAGTTCTATATCAAGTAAACACATAAATGTGCTTATTCTGAACTCTATCGGTATATTGAGCAGGAATGAGTGATCTTTGCTCCCCTATGATAATGTTACTTGAAGATGAAGCAGATGCATTTTGGTGCTTTCAACGTTTGATGCGCAGATTGGTAACTTTTTTGAATCTATTTTCCATCTTTTATAAGCATTCCAAATGTTGTGCTTTCAAATTTCTATGTGTGAAGTCTCGTGATCTAAGAACTTCCCCTCTGTTACAAACTTATTATGCGAATCTAGAAACTTAGTCCTAATATTTTCTTTTCTAGCAAACATTTCTGAAATATATTAATTGACTTTTTTTTTTGGCATCCAAAATGTTCTCTGTTCCTTATTCTTTAAAGACAAATTAAGTTTCAACCTTGTCCTCGTACAATTTGCTGCTTAGATGTAATAAAAGCTTCATTTCAGCTTAGCCTAGAATATTTAAAAACTGTACACAAATTGAACAACACTTGCACATATCTAACATGATGTTACAAAATTGTGCCCTCGATTTTGTTTCAGTTGCTTCCCATGTATGATGTACCTTCAAAAAGTAACTATTTAACTTTGTATTACCTTTCTATCATCATTCAGGACCCATCAACTATTTGTATAATAATGTTGAGAGAAGAAGTCTAAAAAGTTTGATTACTAAATTGCCTCCCCCTTTAGATTTTTTTTTTACTAATGTCACCTATTATATAAACTATCTGCTCAATGCCGATGAATTTACATGTAAATGCATTCGAATTCTACATTTTTTAAGCACCTGATGGCATTGAGCATTAATTCCATAGAAATGCTACTTTTGAAAATATGTTACGGCATTGTACACGTCTAGTAATCTCCTAAGAAATCATCGACTTCCAAATATTTCTGTTTGACCTCTCAATCTTTGCAACTATAGTCCAAGACATTCTTCTCTTTCTGGTTGTAATTTGAAAAAGAGGCAGCAATTATAGTCGTTTAATTACTTTTGGCCCCTTGCTATTTTTTTTTGGTTGGCCTCAGAGATCTTGGTGTTCTTCTTTTAAGAGTGTTTTTATTGGAACTTACATAAATTTGGCTTGAAAATATTTACCGAGATCAAGGTTCCCCAACTCAGACTTCTTACTCTATTGCATCTATGCCCAAATTCACTGGATATTAGAATAAATATCTTTTTTGATATTATATTATTGCTGGAGAAAATTCTCCTTGGAGGTGCCCTTTTAAGGTAGAAGCAATTGACATGCCAGGAGAATTGTCATGTTCTAAAATTTGTTCTAAAATTTCAGAAATTAGAAGGAAGCTGGTAATCATGACGTATAATGAAGAAAATTGATTTAGCCCTTGTTTGAGCCCTATTATTTGGTAAAGAATAGATTTTGGAATAGTGAATTTTTGGAAAACGTATGGTTGACAAGTAGGAAAAAAACTTAGATTTACATGTAATATTATTTTATTAAGAGAATATGTGGTTGAAAATGAGTTTGGAGAATTAGTGAAAAATAGGGCTCAAAAAAGGCTTAATAATCTTCTAAAGTTGACCTTAACAGTCAAAAGAGCTAAAGAATGGAAAAGCACAGTGTTTGCGTTCATTTACTTATTGTGGTTTGGTGTTTAGGGACTATTTCTTAATTGTAATTCATTCTATTATCTGATATCATACCACTGAGTTCTGATAGATTTTTATTTGCTTTGCAATATGTCCACCTTTTTCCATCTGTGAAAGAAATATCTTATAGGCTACAACACAAATAAAGTTCTTAGGAGATATAATTCTTTTGTACGATATTTTCTTTTCATATGGCCAATTAAGTTTTTGTTTATTTGAAACTTTAAAGCGAGGAAATTTCAGATGCACTGAGAGATCTGTAGGAGTGGAGACACAGCTCAGCAATCTAGCTTCAATAACACAAGTTATCAATCCTAAACTTCATCAGCACTTAGGTATAGTCTCTACCCACTTTCTTCCACACTGTGTCATTTTATTCACCTTTACATTTGAATATTCTGCATTCTTAAAAAGATTATGAAATGTGCTTTCAAATTGAAACCCTGAACTATTTATTACGTCAGCTGAGATGAAGATTATTCCCCTCTAAACATTTCATAACATCTTTTCTTCTTAATTGGTAGCATCTGCAATGCATAAAAGTTGTTTCATCTGACATTTATAGTCAAATGTTTGCCAGATGGATGTATTGATCTGCTTGTGTTGTACGAATAATTATCATCTTTACATCATTGTCAACAAAAATATTTTTGTTACAACATTAACTTTCCTATCACTATTGCATCTGGGTAAACATCTTGTGTTCGACTTGCATTGAAATTATGTGTACTTTAATCTTTACAGTATATTTCCCTATCCAAACTTCATTTGAATTACTTAAGATATACATGTGTGTGTGTGTGTGTGTGTGTGTGTGTGTGTGTGTGTGTGTGTGTGTGTAAAAAAGGAAAAGAAAGAAAGAAAGGAAACCAAATCCATTACCTATTTACAAAGGGTGTTGATGTCTTTGTTCATTTTTCTTAAGTTCTTCTATAGTGTCTCGGCAGAAAAGAAAAAAAGAAGACCAAAGATAGAATTTCTCTTGATTTTGATGGTTTCATCAAGAAGACTCTTTAAAAGTCGTTGCATTGTAAATTTGTTTCTTGCTTATTTCCTTACTAATTTCTAGGTTCGCATTGAGAAAGTAACAGAGGTGTTATTTCTTATCTTGGGAACAGAAACCCTTGGTGGAGGCGATTATCTGTTTGCTTTCAGAATGCTTATGGTTTTGTTTCGTCGAGAATTCTCTTTTGGTGATTCATTATACCTTTGGGAGGTAATGTCTTTTATCTATAATCTGTGAAATTCAAGAGTATAGTTGTTATATACTTATATATTTCTAAAAGCGAATTTAATCATTTAATTAATGGAGCATTAACAAATACCTTCTAGTAATAGTTCTGATTAACTAGCTACTCACGTCAGCAAAGACTTATCCCATGCTTATCTATTTTACTGCTTGGATTTTTTTTTCCTTTTTTCTTCGCACAATCAAGGTCCATCATCAAAATAAAACTATCAATGCTCAAGTATTTTTTTAATTTCATCAACCCATGTGATTCTGCAAAGGTGAATTTGACTTGTAAACAAAGGTACCAGATCTGGTCTAGACGTTAACTGGGGTTGGGTCAATAGCTAAAAGAATTATAGATAATTTTAGAAGGCATTAATTGAATTCTTCTGCAGACTAATATGGTATTTAATTTGAGATAATAGAAGTTTTGAATTGGTTTATCAATAATGACAATAATACAAACCTATTCATTTTATTTTGCATGTCAGGTTTTTGCTTATAATACAGACACATTAGTGATTCCCTTTTGGACATAATAAACCTAATTCATTGCTATGATAAGTAGTTTAAGTAGAAGATGAAGTATTTGATGTCTTATTTTTCACTAATCATTTAGCACATTGTTATTTATGCTAATTTATACACTATTAATTTTCTTATTGTTCACTAATCATTTAGTACATTGGACATTTTTTGTTTGAAGGAATCAAATTTATCCTAGGTAAAAAAATTTATTATAGAGCAATTAAGCAATAAGATAGTTATTTGAAAATTAAATAACTATGGCAGCATTTTCTTTTAATACTTGGCTAGTCAAATTTTATTAAATTCTTGCCTATGCTCCAACATAAACTTTCAATGTAGCTACTTTACACTGTACTTTAAGAGTCAGGTTTATTGTTATATTGAGTGGGAGTTACAATTAAAACCAAATTACTGGTGGGCATAGAAACCTACGTCTCAGGATCAAAACCTGGAAGAAGCTAATTTTGTAATAATTTGGATGAACCAACCAGTTTAACAAAATTGGGTCTTCAGTTTTCTAAGCTGTGTCAGATTTGATAGTCCTTAACTGGTTCAATTGAGAACTGGTTGAATAGAGTTAGCTGGGATGGTTTGCAACTCGGGTCTTGGGTTTCCTGTCTGACCTCCCAGTGTGGTCCTGGTGGTTTGATTACTATACTTGTAAAGGAGACAATCGACAAATAAGATTAGGACCCAATAACAAAAGCTGGTTTTTGGCTAATATTATAGCAAAGCTCTCAGAAAGATTTTGGTTCTGTCGCATCCACTGAACTTTGCTAATGCTCCAATTACTTTCTTCAACATGCTTCTATACTGTCATTTATTTAGATCTCTGGCCAATGGTCAAAAATTTAGTTTCAATCAACGGTCGCTTTCAGATGATAAAATTTTTCACACTAATGTACCTTTCTTAGAGAATTGACAGCATCTTTCTGGTTATATCATCACGTATTTCTTGGTCTGAGTTGTAAGTTCCTATTGATTTTAGTTTTCTCATTCATTTCTTTACAGATGATGTGGGCCCTGGAGTATGATCCTGAATTATTCATCATGTATGAGGACCCTGAATTAGCTAGTGAAAAATCTGACAGATCTAAAGGAAAAGTGAAGTCTACTCGCCAATGTGGAAAGTATGAAAGAGAAAACATGAAAAGTGGAGGCAAAAGTGCTGAAGCCCCTCTCCCAATTTCTGTTTTTCTTGTAGCTAGTGTCCTGAAAGACAAGAGTACCAAATTGTTGACAGAAGCTCGAGGACTAGATGACGTTGTTAAGGTTAGCTTGATGAATTCATAAATTTACTGCTTTAAGTAAAATATTTTTTAATTAGCTAGAGAATGCATGCAATAAGATGAAATAAACAGCATTTGGAGCTGCCTGTCAACCTTTCTTTCAGATCAAAATCATTATTCTAAATGATATTGTTTTTTGTGCTTGACTTTATGCAAGCTTATATCATAGAAAATGATTCCAAACAATATAACTTCATGTCATTTGTTGCGACATATTCCTATAACTACTATTTTCCTATGATTCTCAGTTAATTGGAGTTTTCTCACATTAAAATTCTCAGATATTGAATGACATTACGGGAGACCTTGATGCCAAGAAAGCTTGCACTGGTGCCATGAAACTTCACAAGAAATATCTGAAAAAGGTATGATTTTTCCTCCTTTTTTTTTTTTTTTTTTTTTTTTTTTGGTGAAAATCCAAATAGTTCATTAATTTATATCGCCTCAAACGAAAGGCAAAAGGAAAAGGGGAATACAATCATTCCAACTACGACACAAACAATGAGGCAAAAAGGAAGCTGTCATATTGTGGACTACCTGATTTTCCTTGCAAGAAATAAAACAGCAGTAGCCACAATCAACATCGGCAATTAAAGATAAAATATCAGACAAGATCACTGCATTCAGTGCTCAACAGAAATCAGACTCGAGACTGCTCTCCACTTGAAGGGAGTCACATTCCACCATAGCAATCTTGAATTTGTGTTCCTTAGCAAAAATAAGGCCATCTCGAATCGCTATTTCCACTGCATCCTCCAGCCCAAACTGCCTGACCATCATCTTCAATTGTGCAGCTAAATCACCCTGTCTTGAATCACCGTCCCAGATGAAATAAAATTAGAGTCCTTTCTTACTGCGATGTCCTTATTAAGCTTAACCTCCAAACCTGAGGCTCGGGTTCCAGCTAATTGGATTTTCACCATACCCTGCCCCCACTGCTGCAGACACTCCACAATATCAACTAGGAAATTCTGTTCGAGGATTGCACCATGGACCACAGGGTTGCATTACCCTTATATCACTCGTAGAATGCATCCTTAACTTCCCAACTCTTGATCCCCAATATGTTGAGATATTCCAAATAGGGTATGCACATCCATTATCCCAATAAACATCCTATCTTGAATCACCGTCCCAGATGAAATAAAATTAGTGTCCTTTCTTACTGCGACATCCTTAAGCTTAACCTCCGAACCTGAGGCAGCTTTTTTTGTTCCTACCAGCTCGGGTTCCACCTAATTGGAATTTCACCACACCCAGCCCCTACTGCTGCAGAGCCTCCACAATATCAGCTAGGAAATTCTGTTCAAGGATTGCACCATGTACCACATGGTTGCATTACCCTTATATCGCTCGTAGAATGCATCCTTAACTTCCCAATTCTTGCTCGCTACTACCTTGAGATATTCCAAGTAGGGTATGATGCACATCCATTATCCCAATACAAAGGTTTTAGCCTGCTCCTCCATCCCGTCACATTCCAAACTCCTTTGGCAAACTCGCGCCAAAACAACACATGGAATTGGCCTTCATCTCTCTTCAACAGTAACCCCATAGCTCTTCAGATTTACACATGTAAGAATAGCCTCATTGGAGACCCAACAAAGAAAAGAGTTTACCTTAGGAGGCACTGGTAGTTTTCATGTAGTTATTTTCCGTCCAATAATGCCTGTGTTGCTGGAACTTTCTGCCAGCACGCATGCTGCAACAAACCATTATACCCACCCTGGACGCAGTACATTCCGTTTGCCTCAAAATGCCAAATCCATTTATCCAAGGAATGAGTGTTATTACCCAATGGGATGGACAAATTCTGAGCACTATCCACCAGTAAAAATAGTGGCTCCAACTTCCTAACATCCCAAGCTCCGGTCACCAAAAATAAATCACTTACCGTAGAAATTTCCTAATTTACTACTGAATATGGCCTGAAAGAACTCAGAAAAATCTTTTCCATCACCCTGCCACTTCAACTCTAGCTGAAGAAGTTCCAGAACCCATAAAAATGCTTTTTCACACCAAAGAATCTCCCCCCTTGCTGAGGCTGTCCATCAATATATAACAGAAGTTACACATTATGTGAATAATATGATTAAATAAACTTGACATATATAAATTTGATACCCATGATAGTACTTCCTTTGAGAATTCATGAAGATTCATGAAGATCTGTCCTATTTATGCTGTAAAATAGTAAAAACGCTGCCTTCAACATTCTAGTGCCATTGCTTAGTTTTTGTTATTTTTTGTGCTCGGATCGCTCCTCAGGTGCTAAAGAGAGACTTCTTTCCACAATTTTTTTCGGTTGCTTTTTGGCTATATGTTTGTTGTGGCTCTTTCCGTTCTGACCGCTTTTCACATGATTCTCTATTTCTAGGCAATATTTCTGTCAATTTGTAAGCCATTTTTATGTTGATAAAAATGTTGAGGTCTTTGGTAAAATGCATCGAAATGTGAGCATGATCTTTTCAGCTACAACATTGATGAGTTTTAGCTCATTACGTCCCTCACCCAGTTCTGTTTGACATCCTTGCAGGCAAAAAATGCATAGCAATGGAGGAAGTGTTCCCAAGATGTACTTAAATTTATGGCATTATGAGGCAACGGCGATATTTTATTCTGCAACCTTACTAACAAGCCAGTTGTATATTTCTGATGCTGATATGATCTGAATAAACATCTGTACCGTTCTTGGGAGCATATTATACCCGGGGATGCCATTTTTATAAGTGAAAATACCGTTCATTCTTTGCATACTATCTATCTATAAAAATTTATAACAGAGCTTTGTAATGTTGAATCGTGCATCCTGTAATCGTTGAATATAAAAGGAAAATGTGTGTACAATATTTGATTTGTTGTTAGTAATAAAAGCAACAGTTTGAGGATTTGTTCTTGTTCCCATATTATAATCGACATATTTTTACCTGTTCTTTTTAAACTTCTACCGTTAATTACTGATATGAAATATAAAGAAATGAAATGCATTCATCAATCGTTCAGCCACCATAAAGATAAACCTGTAAGATGCAAAACTGCAAAAGAGATGTAATGAAACACTTGATTAAAGATGTAAAGAAATAAAGACAGGCGACAAGCTCAACTTGTTGCAGTTTGTTGATACAGTTTTCTTGTTATCATTTGAATCCTCCCAAAAGTGATTCAAATTGTTCCAAAACATTTTTTGGGTAGTTCTAGGTGGAAATATGAAGTAGCCACACCTCAATCCTCACACCTACTTTTCAGACATTTCTCAATGTGCATTCAAACTCTGATTCAGTATATTGTAATCGATTTTCAAGATAATTAGGAAGAGAGAATCTATAAACCCTCAAAATTCTCGAACACGAACCCTTCCTCATCATTACCCTCGTCTCTCGTACAAAATGCATTGTGCACTTTAGATAAGGATAGATGTGTATGGTATTGGAATTGAGAAGATGAGATCGAAGACTTCCAATCTAGTTTTAAGACAGCATAGAAAGTATTGTCCGATTTTGTTTAGGACAAGTTTAATTCATAGTATTGATTAGCATCAAAGATGGAAACGACTTATTTAATTTTGTATATCACCTTTCTTTCAAACCTTTCTTTCCCCCAAAATTAATTCTCAATGACGAATACTAGAATAATTCCTTGCTACTATCCAACCATGTCAATATTGCATTCCAATTATGCCATCTATGTAATGCAAATTTTACATTACTCTCTAGTACTAAATACCCAACATATCCTCTCTATGGTTTGTAATGTCTTGTCTCCAGATTTAATAAATAAGACATTACTATTTGTCAACATATACATAAGTTGTGGCTAAATACGATAAATAGTTGATAAGGATTTTTAATAAATACATAAGCATGTGACTAAGACATTACATATTAATGAATAATAAGTTCGTAATGTCTTGTCACCAAATAGTTGTAGCTAAACACGAAAAATAGTTGATAAGGGTTTTTAATCATTACTATTTGTCAACATGGTTTTAAACATTTATCGAACTATGTTATTAAGGTTAAAATTTTGACTCGAATCTTTCCACACAATTTCAAAGCCACTATCACGATGTATTCTTTGAATCAGTCTAAAATTTTCGAGTAGGTCATAAAACATCACGAAAGACAAGAAAACTTGGACAATTCTTCCTTATCGACATATATTTAAGTATTTTAGATGTGGTAGGGTTGAGAATCCAACCTTGAACCTTGTCAACAAAGATTCAAGGACATATACATATAAGAAATACAACTTTTAATGATAACCTTTTTGTACTCATGCTGAATAAAAGGTGTCTCAACCATGGCACATCTACTGCTTCTGCTTCTGCTTGTTTATCGTCTGAAATGCACATTGACTCCATTTACAGAATCAGATTTTTGAAAGAGTAGACGTTTTCATTTCCCGGGAAGGCCTTGTTGATCTGGATAGCAGCGAATCAATCAGAAAATGAGAACTCGCCCAATTGAAGAGAGTTATCCGTGCTGTCCATCCTGTTTTATAGTCCGAGTTAACGTGCCAGTTGATGCTCATCCCACAATTGTCCGGACAGGGCAATTTTGCTGGTAGATGACCTTTGCTTGTGCTGTTAAGTGTGTGCCAAGCTTTTGCCTTTTTCCATTCTATTGTCAAAAGGGACAAGAATGTCGTCGGGAGGAAGCATCAATGGAGCTGCATTTTTATCGCAATGTGCATGTGCATCCTCATCACAACCACACGCACAATTATTGCAAGGAATAGCCAAATCAGAACAACAAGCAGAGAAGGAAACAAAACATTTGGCATGCTTAGGCTTGGGACGAGTACCAGTTGGCAATAGCTGATGGAGTCGAAGCAATACTGTTGAAAAAATGGTTATGAAATAAGTCAACTTTGAGCCCAAATTTCAGTAGGACCCACCTCTTAATTAATATGGGAACTAGTATATTCACATTCTACTCCGCGAGATGATTAACGTGATATATTTATTTGTCGAAAACCATTTAAAATTGAATGAAATATTAAGTGTTAAAGTAACCCACATAAACTAAGTATTATGGAAGAATTTGATTTTTCAATCACTTATCCCACATAGAAAAGTTAAGAAACTTTGGTGTTGTTTAGAAGATGGAAGTTTGGAATTGGGTTTGGGCATCAAGGGGTACCAATAGTT